TACGTTCCTTAATGTTCTTCTGTTTTTAAACTGTTTTAACTGTGAAATTAATGTCCTTTACAAAAGTGTCTTTTGAAAGCACTGTTAGAGTTGTATAAAGATCATGTACAAATATTGAAATTGTTCTAAATATAATTTATTTTTGTTAGTATAGTTCCCAAAGTTTTGGGAAAAATTAAACATTTGAATTCTACGGCTGTGCTTTGGCCTTATTCATACACAACTGAGTGAATAATCAAATTTTTGTAAAGCAGCCTCTATTTTTTTGCAATGATGCATGTTTATTAGCTCAATTCTGCCATTCTATAATAGATACATAAATAGATATTCACATATTTTTAAAACAAGTAATTATATACAATTCCTATTAGTCAATCAGAATAAAAAAAATTTAAAAATTGACAGCCAGCCCTATTCTTCCTGCATTCCTGGTTCAATTCTTTTTTAAAAATGCCTTGTGTTGAGTAACTAAGGAAGCAGTTTCATCAGAACTTACATTACCTTAATATATTCAAAGTTAGAGTTATCTACCTGTTTTAATCTTTTATAATCTAAATTAGGGAATAGGAATAGAGACAATGCAAATGTGGATGCTCAGAACACATTTGTTTATTTATTTTTTGATTGGAAAGTCAGATGAGAAGAGAGGAGAAGAGACAGAAGACGATCTTCCATCTGCTGGTTAATTCCCAAAGTGGCTGCAACGGCCGGAGTTGAGCTGATCCGAAGCCAGGAGCTTCTTCCCATGTGCGTGCAGGCTCCCAAGGCTTTGGGCTGTCCTAGAACGCTTTCCTAGGCCACAAGCAGGGAGCTGGATGGGAAGCTCGGCTACCAGGATTAGAACTTGTGCCCATATGAGATCTCGGCGCATTCAAGGTGAGGACTTTACCCTCTAGGCCACCACACTGGGCCCCCAAGAATACATTTTAAAATGAAGTATCAATTTCTGTTTGAGAAATACTTGCTGAAAGTATGTTGTATGCAAAGACTCATTAGCTTTACTAACAGAAGTTAAGCACCTATAGTTTACAATGTAGTGTGTAAAGTCAATGGGTAGGGCTCTGTCCTGATAGGAATTGGGAACTGGCGTTGTGGTTTGCCAAGCTAAGCTGCCACTTGTGACTCTAGTGTCCTGCTTTCAGTCCTGCCTGGTTCCCTGCTAATGCACCTGGAAATCAGCAGAGGATGGCCCAAGTGTTTGGGCCCCTGCACACATACAGGGGACCTGGATGGAGTTCAAGTGCTGGCGCTGGTGGTCTGGACCAGTCCTGACTATTGGCAGCCATTTGCAGAAGTGAACCAGCAGTTGGAAGACGTCTTTGTCCCTTTCCATAAGTCTACCTTTCAAATAAAATTCTTTAAAAACAGAAGGACTTAATAATGGCTGAATAGTAGGACTAGAGTCTGTATTGTATCTAGGCACGATTATGATCACTTAATTTTGCTTTGGGAAGTCTGGTTACCTTCTGAACTGGACTGTGAATGATACTGAGGTGTGTTTATGTATATATAAAATTTTGCTATTAAATGGCACAAAACATGATGAGGCTGATAAATTTATATTGAAGGTTGCAGAAAGGAGTGACCAATGTTCATGCCCACAGATAGCAGTAGGTGGCCTTGGCAGCTTGAAAAAATCAGAGGCCCCTCATTTCTCCTGGTTGGAAAGAATCAGTGATTTTTTTTTTTTAGTCTGTTTTCTAAATGACAAACATGCATTACTTCATGGGATGAAACATATAACAATCCAAAATATTTATGTGACTGTAAAATAGTTAAATTTTTTTTACTAAGTCACTTTCTGAATAAACCTAAATTGTTAATAATGTAGCCATAGATTTTAAAACAATGCTAGTTTTCAGAAGATAATACCCACATGTGAAAAACAATCACTGGTCTACTAGCTATGAATCCACTGCGCAATATTAATACAGTAAACCAAAAGGGAAGGAGAAAGGATAGTTTGGTGCAAAATAGAACATAATATAAAATTACGAAGACAGAACAGTTAAAAGGTTACTAACTGGGGTTAAACTGTAGGCTTATTATATGAGTAACCGAAGATACTACTTGAAAATCCTCCCAAGTTATCTACAGAGTACTGTTCTTTCCTGATGTAATGACTTGGTACCTGGGTGTAGTTGTGAAAGATGTGAGTGATAACATCTGAAGCTGAAATGAACATTTAGAAAATGACCACATCTACTGTTTTGCACAAATTTGCCAGTTCTTGCAGAAAATATGCAGCTCTTTCAGGTGTGAGATTATGGTCAAAGAACCATCCTGGTACCCTGTCTGGTAGATCTTAATTAGTAACAACCACACACCTGCAGTAGTTTTATCGCAAAGGACATCTGACAGTACTGTCACAGCTAGAGAAGGGTTCTACTGATACCATGGAAGGATGCACAGGAGAGTAGGGCCCACAGAGTATCTTTTCCAACACTTGGATAATATTGAAGGATATTGTCTTTAGAAAAATCAGTTGGTGTATCATCTTTAAATCCTTTCTCCCTTACCATTAAAAGTTTGGAAAGGTTTAAGCAAGTAAGTCTTTAAATAATAATAAATCCACTTCCATTCGCTAACAATAGAGAATCTGCAATCAGGTAAGGGAAAGTCTATTTTACCAGCCACCTTTAAATTCTACAGAAAAACCTAGCAGGATAAAATCATTCTCTACTCCCCAAACTCAAACAAAGAAACAAAAAATGTGTTATAACAAGTACAAAAAGCAAATTTAAGGAAAAAAATCTTACCACAGTTGTGTATGTGGAGAGAGGACAGAAAAGTGTATTTGACCACCACACTGGAAAAATCCAGAATTGACAGGTTTTTTTCAGAGCTAATGAATGTCTTACCGTGTGTTTACAAGTGCTATCCTTTGCAAAGACAAAACCTAAGATCAGAGTTAAACCTAAATAAGGATCATAAATACTCCTAGGCTTTGATCCAGTAGACTAGGAGTCTCTTGTGTCATTTCTCTCCTATGCTGCAATGCCTGGGGGAAGTAATAACAGCGTGACAGAGGAGGTCTGAGTAGTTTACTACAGTGTAGTAACTCTTGAACTCATCTTGAATAGGTGAAGACAAATAATTGTATCTTCAAAAGAAAAAGATTGTCACCCAAAGGAATGTAAATGTTTTTTATTACTGGTCTTGCTGTGTATGCAGGTAAGATCACTCCAGACTAGTCCAGGGTTTATGAAGGACTCTTTATTAATCAAGCTTGGTGATAACAGGACCCACTAGCAATAGTAAATCACAAGTCCATATGCCAATCCAATCAGTCGTAACCTCAAGAGGAACAAATTGTCATTACCCTGCAGTCCATTTGTTAAACTGAAGACCTATGTCCCAGCTTCCCCAGCCATATAAGTTATGCTAAGAGACATGCAATGAATAACCTGGACACACAAAGTTGAAGACATTCACCTTTCCCTGGCTTCTCTGCCCACATTCCGTTACTGCTAGGCCTCACCTCTCCTGGAACTCTTGAAAGTACACAAATTAGAAATAAAAGCATCTTAGCATTGCTATCTTCATTGTCCTACCCAAGTAGTGAACAGAGGGCGAGGAATACAGACAAACAGAGGCGATGCTCAGGGGATACCTGTCAGAGGTACTGGGGAGGCCAAGAGTGGGAGTGCCTGAGCAACGGAAGAGTGAGCCCCTCCTTATCGGGAGCCTTATAGGAGCTTGAGAGGGGAGTAGTTACACAACAATACAATACCTCCTCTCAGATGATAGGTGAGAGTCACAGGTGAGCCAAAAGGGAACAGCTGGTGGTAGGGGAGCCACTTCCAAATTCATGACCCTGTACTAGCTGCCTAACTCAACACAATAACAGGGTCCACTAGAAATTAGCAAATGACAGGTCCATATGGCAATCCAGTCTGAATCAAAACCCTGAGAGGAAGAAACGGTCAGTAGCCTGAAGTCCATCCATTAAACTGAGGACCTATATGTCCCAGCTTCTGCAGCAATATAAGTTATCCTAAGGGACATAGAGTGAACAACTTGGACACACAAGGCTGCAGGCATTCACCTTTCCCTGGCTTCTCTGTCCACAGTTTAGCAGTAATGGAATGTGGACAGAGAAATACAAAGCAGCTTAACATTAACATCTTTCCTGTCCCACCCAAGCAGTGAACAGTGGGTGAGGAATACAGACGGGCCATGCTCAGGTGCTGCCTGACCTTGCATGCCGGAGGGAGCCCCTCAGCCCCTCCCTATCATGGGCTTTTTTGGGGGCTTAGCAAGGGGAGTGCTTGCACAACAATGCAATACTGCAGTAGGGCAGAAGGGAGGTGGTGTGGGGGGCGTGGCTTCCAAGTTCAGGACCCTGAACTAGCTGCCTACCCTACAATGGTCTAGACTATCTTCCCTACATGTGACTAGGATTGTGTTTGTTTGATAAAGTTCCAAGTCCACTCGTTCTACACTAAAAGGCAAACGGAAATATACTTAGAGATGCCTCCGTCCCACCCTTAATTCTGATGTAAGAAAGGATTTCACAAATAGCTCCTTTGTGCTGCGAGTGTGTTCCAAAGTCCAACTTCGTTTCTCAGAAGATCTATACATTGTTAAAGGAGGAGTGTTGCTAACAGACCCCGTTAGCAAAAAGAAATAGAAAATGAGATGCTCTATTAAGGAAAACAATTGGGGCCATAACTGACAAATTTCCATGTGTCCCTCAGAGTGGCAATGGGGCATACAATTGAAATATTGGGACTTATCTGAAATTCAAATTAAATTGCATGTATACCATTTTTATTAATCAATCAATTCTATGTTCATTTTAAGACTATTTTCCCTAATCACAAAGAAGCATGCAATACATGATTATTGATAGTGACAGAAATGGTTCCATCAAATGTTTTTGTACCAATTCAAAGTTCTATTTCTTGAATTATAGGGTAGTGAAAATCTTGATTATGCTGATAAGAGATTGTGATAGAATTATATTTGATGATGTTAACAGAGGATACTTATATTTTAATTTTTAAAGCTTACTGCTGGATGCATCTCACCAGTAAGTGTCCATTATTGCCAACGCTGACGTGAGCTCAGTTGAATACCCACTATGACACGTGTGTGACCTAGGTCCCTAGCAGTCACTGCTGCCCTGCCTGAGACACTGAGCAACACTGGACACTTCGTGGCAGGGTACTGCATGTGGGAATGAGATAGACACACCAACTTGGGCTTGGGAGTGTCCAAAGCAGAGCACTTCCGGATGAGACGCCAGTCTAGTTTGCACAGTACATTAAAATGTCGAAGCCATATAGTTTCTTTAAAACAGTAGTGAGGGATGTACTGGAAGATGATGCATTTTTGACGTTATGGGAACTTATAGAATCCGTTTTTCAAAATTACTGGGTGACAATCATCTTTGCCATTTTCTTGGGAATCATTTTTGAGGTAATATTCATAAAAATTTATGCATGCTTTCAGAAGAAGATTGCACTTCCAGAAAAATGTGGTTTCTACACTCAGAAGGTAAGAAGAGATGATTGATTCTTCCCTCCCGTTTTTCAAAATCATACCTAAGAACAGCTGGCAAATTTTGAACTTTTATGTTTGTGTTAATTCTCTCATCTTTTATTTTCTCTCTTGAAATAGAATGAAGACAGTAACCTGAAGCACATGGAATTTGGTAAATAATAAATAATTTCAAATTTTTATATATAATACTTGTTCAGCCTTATCTTCCATTGAAACTGTGACTGTTCGTTCCCATTTAGCTCTAAAGAAACATCCAGTTATTCATCTACCTTCAGAAGAAAGGTCAGTGATATATTTTGAAATTACATAGTTGGTTATGTATAAATATATATATGTATACTTTTCAAACCTGCACTGCTTTTGTATTTCACAGATTTTCCCATGTTGTATGTAAGGAGTCCAAGGCAGCTCACCATTTACATAGGAGCGTCAGTAGTTCTTTCTCAAATCTTAGAGGCCAGTCTCAATTCCATGATGGAGGGGCAGGGGGCATTTCACAGATGGCAACATGCCTAGTGTTTAAAGAAGAGCTACTTGCATTGTTCTACTTCATTTCTGCCTCCAAATATTCAGTAAGATGAACCCCATTCATGAGTATTTTGTATTTGACTTTATTTTAGTTTTATATGCTTGAAAAAGAGCTCCCATCTCTTGGTTCACTCTCCAAACACCATTTAAGAAAAGAAAAAATTTTAAAGGTTTATTTATTTTTGTTGGAAAGTCAGATATACAGAGAGAAGGAGAGACAGAGAGGAAGGTCTTCACTCCACTGATTCACTCCCCAAGCAGCTGCAATGGGCAGAGCTGAGCAAATTCGAAGCCAGAAGTCAGGAGCCTCTTCCGGATCTCCCATGAGGGTGCACGGTCCTGGTATATGTAATGCAAGGACTTTAGCTGCTAGGCTACCATGCCAGGCCCAAGAAAAGGAAATATGTATAAAGAGACTAACAGTCAAGCAAGATAGGTTAAAAACTAATAATTTTAAATATTCACCTAATATTTTCTGTTACAGGTAAAAATGTAATCTTACTATAGCCAAAATACTCAATTTTAATTTAGATAAATCCAAACTAGTGAAATTTTACCAAGAAATTAGATAGGTCATGGTGATTTCATAAACAGTATTTGTTCACTGCTGTGTTTGAGGGTTATTTAAATGTAAATTCACTGCCCTGCGCGGTATGGTAGCTGGTAAGTCCTCACCTTGAATGTGCTAGGATTCCATATGAGCACCAGTTCTTTTTTTTTTAAAAGATTTATTTTATTTTTTTTATTGGAAAGGCGGATATACAGAGAGGAGAGACAGAGTTCCTCTTCCGTCTGATCTTCCAAAGATCTTCGGACCGATGATTCACTCCCCAAGTGAGCGCAATGCTATGCTGGTCCGAAGCCAGGAGCCTCTTCCGGATCTCCCACGCAGGTGCATGGTCCCAAAGCTTTGGGCTGTCCTCAACTGCCTTCCTGAGCCACAGGCAGGGAGCTGGATGGGAAGCGGGGCTGCCGGGATTAGAACCAGTGCCCATATGGGATCCTGGGCATGCAAGGCGAGAACCTTAACCACTGTGCCACCGCACCTTGAATGCGCCAGTTCTAATCCCTATGGCCCCACTTCCCATCCAGCTCCCTGATTGTGGCCTGGGAAAGCAGATGAGGACAGCCCAAAGCCTTGGGATCCTGCACCCGCGTGAGAGACCCAGAAGCGGCTCCTGGCTCCTGGCTTTGGATTAGCTCTGGCCATTGCGACTGCTTGGGGAGTGAAACATTGGACAGATGATTTGTTCTGTCTCTCCTCCTCTCTGTATATCCGCCTTTGCAATAAAAACAAATCTTTTTTTTTTTTTTAAAAAGTAAGTTTGTACTTCAGTAAAATATGAGGTAATCTGTGTTTCTTAAGTAGCTAGTGGACTGCCTAGTTTATAGGAGTTTTACTTGTTTATTTTTAGGAAATCTCTTACATAAAAACAGTGATTGTGAAAATTCATCATGCATCAGACTATACATGGAGGGCTTGTTAAAACTCAAGTTTCTTGTGGCAGGGGTTTGGTATAGTGCTTACAGGGGTGCTTGGGACTCTTAGATCCCGTATGTCAGTGCCAGCTGGTCGGAGTCCTGGCTTCTTCACTTCTAGACCCACTTTTTTGCTAGCACTCTCTGTAAAAGACAGTAATGGCTCAAGAATTTGAATCCCCATCCCCACCTAGGAAACCTGAATGGAATTCTGGCTCAGCCCTGACTATTTGAGGAGCCCGTCAGCAGGTGGAAGATCTCTCTGTATTTTTTTTTTTTTGTATCATTTTCCCTCTTACTCTTCCTTTCAAATAAGAGAAAAGTAAATCTTTTAGAGATATATTTATTTGAAAAACAGAATGACAGAGTCGGAAGTTCGCAGGGAGAGAGAGAGAGAGAGATAGCTGGGGCAGCATAGCACAAGAGAGAGGGGGGGAGAGAGATCTGGGGCAGGGTTGCAGCATAGCACATGAAACCACCTCTTGTGATGCTGGTATCCATTATGAATGCTAATTTGAGACCCAGCTGTTTGGCTACCAGTATCTGGAAAAACAGCAGAAGATGGCCTAAACTGCCTGCGTCCCTGAACCCATGAGAGACCTGGAAGAAGCTCTGGGTTTCTACCTTCCACCAGGCCAAAGATCTCTGTGATCTCTGTCTTTTGCCTCTCTTCTCTCTGTAATTCTGCCTTTCAAACAAATAAATCTTTTTAAAGAGAGAGGACCCATTGCATTGACCTAGTGGCTAAAGTTCTCGCCTTGGATGTGCCAGGATCCCATATGGGTGCCAATTCTAATTCTAACTGCCCCACTTCCCATCCAGTTCCCTGCTTTTGGCCTGGGGAAGCAGACAAGGATATCCCAAAGCCTTGGGACACTTCACCCATGTGGGAGACCTGAAAGAGGTCTGGGCTCCTGGCTTCGGATCTGCTCAGCTCCAGCTCTTGTGACCGCTTGGGGAGTGAATCATAGGATTCACTCCTTTCTCTCCTCCCCTCTGTATATCTGACTTTGCAATTAAAATAAATAAATGTTAAAAACAATAGAAATCATTCATCCCCTGGTTTACCCCTAAAGGACAAAGTGGCCAATTCTGGATCTGGCCAAAGCCAGGAATCAGAATCTCCCTGCAGGTGCCCTGTGTGGGTGGCAGGGTTCCAAGCACTTAGGCCGTCTTTGGAAGCAGAACAGCCAGGACTCTGACTGGTGCTCCAAGAACTGCCAGTATCAGGTGGTGACTTAATCCTGTAAGTCACAGTGCCAGGCTCCTAAACAAAAAATTTTTCAAAAACCTAAAATTTCTGGGTCTTACCAACAATGTTTCTAATTTAGTGGAATTAGAGTATGTCCTGAGAATGTGTATGTAATTTCCTTTTATAAAAATAAATATGGGCCCGGCACGGTAACCTAGTGGCTATGCTTACCTTGCACACCCCGGATTCCATATGGGTGCCGATTCTAATCACAGTAGCTCTGCTTCCCATCCTACTCCCTGCTTGTGCCCTGGGAAAGTAGTCGAGGACGGCCCAAAGCCTTGGGACCCTGCACCCGTGTGGGAGACCCAGAAGCGGCTCCTGGCTCCTGGATTCAGATTGGCTCAGCTCCAGCTGTTGTGGCTGCTTGGGAGGTGAATCATCTGATGGAAGATTTTCTTCTTTCTCTTCCTCTCTGTATTTATATTATTTATTTGAAAGGAAGAGCTACAGAGAGGGAGAGACAGAGATAGGTCTTCCATCCACTGGTTTATTGTACCACATCAGCTGGGGTATAGCTAGGCCAAGGCCAGGAGCCTAAAGCTTCATCTTGGCCACCCTCTTGGGTTCTGATTGTCCACTCTTTTCCCAGTGAAAGGATCAGAAAGCAGGGAACAGGATCAGAAGTGCAGCAGCTTGGACTCAAACCACAGTCATTTGGGATACTGACATTGAAGTCAGAGGCTTTGCCCACTATGCCATTACACTGAATCTGCATTTCATTTCTAACAAGTTTTAAGGTAGATTAGAATTCTGCAAACAGAATTCACATGTGAGAAAAACACTCAGTGAGTAAGAGTTGAAGAGATTTTAAATATTTAGTTCATACATTTAAGTGACAAGCAAATCCAAAATATTCATTTTAAGTCCAAAAGCTATCTGTTGATAAAATTTCCTTACTCTGGAATGGCTATTCTTTTGGTCTGTTTGTGCCTTTAAGTAATTAGGTAAGACCTACTCGATTAGGGAAAGTAGTCTACTGTAGCCAAAGTTAACTTATTTGAATATTAATTTCATCCAAAATCACTCTCACAGAAACATGCCAAATAACATTTGCATTTCTGGGTTCTATGTCCTAAATTTTCACAAAATTATTCGTTATGGGGTTGGTGTTTGGACTCGTAGTTTAGGGTATCCCAAGGCCACATGGAGTGCTTGGTTCACTTCTGACTCCAGCTCTGGATTCCAGCTTCCGGTTAGTACACAGCCAGGAAGGCCGCAGGTGATGGCTCAAGGGGTTGGCGCCTGCCACCCACATGGGAGACCTGGACAGTTTTTGACTGGCAACTGTGTCCCCGTCAGTCCTGGCCCTTGAGGGCATCTGGGGGAAGTAAGCCAGTAGTTGGGAGTGCTTCTCTGTTTCCCTCATTTCCTCAATATATACGTGTGTACATTTTATTCACACATACAAATGCATATAAACACATTTATATACACCACAGCAGAGGATGCTAACTGCATGCAGTTGGTCTCAGTAGCTGTTTGACAAATATTTGAAATAGATGGTTTCTCTTCTATGATCATTAACTCAATATTGTGCTAAGACACTTCACTAAAATGTAGACTTTTGTGCTTACCACAAATATCTGTTAAAATGAGCTGAGCTTATCTCTAGAAAACTGCAGTTTATACTACTGGATATTCTTTTTTTGTACCTATCAAATCATAGACATTCATACAGAGGACAGAAATGAAAACTAATCCTCGTAGAAGGGCATACCTTGATTCTACAACTTGACTCATTGCTGTCAAAAACAGGCTTTTAAAGAATTCAGGGTATCTCATTCTCCGAGTTATATAAATTATTAACTTTAATTTTGCTAGTTGACTGGTACATTAAATGAAAGGAACTAGATAATGAGTTGTTTTTATGATGTAGATAATTGCTTTCCACTTTTTTCCATCTGTTTTCACTTATTAAGCTGTGTTTCCTTGAATATAGAAGAGTTCTTACAAGAAATACATCCCAGACAGTTTTCTTCCCACACAGTTTTCTTCTATTTCAGAACTGATATCTCTTCAGAAAGGAGAGTTGCCTCAATGCTTACACCTGAAAGAAATGAAGGTAACTTCACAGATGCAGTTTTCATGTCAGATGAATCAAAAGGATCAGCCACCAGTGAGAGTAGACACTATGTTAGTCACTTTTGTGAAAGTCATGTGACATCTTCAAGTACAACCAGCTCCTCTTTGTCACTGTTTCATTCGGAAGTAAAGAAAATTTTCCTAAACAACAGACAGCATACAGAAAACAAACAAGAAAGAGTAAAATTTTCTTCAAAAAAATTGTTTTCGATAATGAAAACTAACAAAAATAAAAATTTAGAGTTTTCTTCTGATCTTAGTTTTTCGAAAACATCTAAATTCTATACAGAAAATGAACATATAGTTGTGACACCATGCCCTCCTGCCCATCTATTTCTGTCTAAAGACCAAGTTAGACTTCTAGAAAAAAATGTGAAAAATCAATTTCCATTAAAACACAGTGCTACACTACAGAGTGAAACTATTTATCTGTGCTCCAAATCCCAAGAGTCCTTGGTTCAGAATCACTGTTCGGTACACAGGGTTGTTTCTGCCCAAGCACAAGATTCCTTTCCAGAACAAAATGCTATTCAGAATCGAAGTTTTTATGAAACTCAATTCCCTGGCCAAGGCCAACACTTCACTCACAGTCAAGAACCTATCAACAGCCAGCTTGATATCATGGCCAGTAGTGATGTAACTCATTCTCAGGACTTAATGAATAAGCCATTTTCCACCAACACAGAAGACTGTCTTCTGGCCCACCAAGTGGATAGGAGCCAAAATCTTACCCCAGTCCAATATACTGTTAAAATACAAGAAGGTTTGCTCAGTGGCAAAGAGCCTGATGAACATTTAGGTGAAACCCAATATTTGGTTTGTTTTGAAGAATCAAACAAGATTAAATATTCTATCAAGGGGGAAGATATTGCTTCTAAAAATGCTGAAAATCTAGATTTAACTGTGAGTCCAAATTCATGTATTGAAAATATGCTGCAAGTGGAGAGTGTAAAGTCAGAAGACCAGCAGCAAACTGCTTCATCAAAAAGTAGCCAAGTTTCTCTATATAGCAGAAAATCACTTGGCAATAAACGCAAGCTCAGTCTTAAAATTTCATCTCTAAAAGCAAAGAAAACAACTTCACTGGTATTTCAAACCACAAAAAACAAGAATGATTTAGGATGCAAGAATAATACTGTGAAGAAAGAATTACATCAAAGGAAAGCTCTATTAGATATAGCTTCACAGCTTGTTTCTGTACCCAAGTTTATTCCTCCTTACATTAAAAAGTGTTCCATGAAGAAAATAATGGAAGTCATGCGAGGCTTAATAGAATGTAGGTATTTTCTGCAAAGGCAGAATAATTTACCAGATACACAGGGCATTGGTTATGCAGGATCTGTTGAGGAGCAGTGTCTCTCGGGCATTACTGGAATTGTACAGCAAGATGAAAGGAAAAGTAAAGGACCAGAAGACATTTCACCACAAATATTACCTCAGCCAGAACAGTCACTCATGGCTAACAGTGAACAACTAAAGGCATCTTCTTCATTAATACAAACAAACGGGAAGTGTAAAGAGTCTCCTGAAGACCCAATTAAAGAAGCAAGAGAAATTGATACTACAGAATTTCATGTCCCAAATGATAAAAAATCAGTTGAGTTTCCCATTCCAAGGAATGAGACACCTTTGAAAGAAGCTATGTCAAAACCTATGACCAAATGTGTGTCCTATCCCAAAGTAGAACTGAACGGAAGAAGGAAAACACAGGAAGGCTTCCTAAGTGCAGACATTTCCCATCTTCAACTTTCAGATGGAGAGGAATTTCCAACTAGATTGCCAAAAATGCAGAGAGACTTTTCAAAGGAAAACACACAGAACCAGAACAACTCTCTGGAAATTGTTCTGGAGTTATCAAATCCCAATCCACCCATTTCCTTAAAAAACAATGAAAAGTATGAAGGCATAGAAATTCAAGTATGTCTAAAGGAAGAGAAACAGTTAATATTTAACATTGCAGAATATGGCAATGTAAGGAAAACTGAGGAATTGGAATGCAACACTAGAAGCAACATAAAAAATGTTCTTCAAGATAGAAGTACATGTGATGTGCGTTGCACTGACACACCTGATATGCAAATACAAAGCAGATTAAATGACAAGAGACATGCATCAGTAATAGTAAGACTTAATCAATCAGCATTAAAGCATGAGAAATTACCAGATGAAAAGAAAACACAGAATTCAAAACACATTGATAACAACTTTGTACTTAAAAACCCAAAACAACATGGCAGAGAGCAAGAAGGACAAGAGGAAGGAGAAGGCATTTCACCGCTGACACAACAAGTCATCAGCTTCAGTATGTATCCAAATCAAAACCCCACACAGATCAGACTCAAAGTGGAACAATCTAGTTCAGCAAGTGGAAAAACTCAAGACCCAAACGGACAACCACAAGCTCTCTCTGTTTTGGCAACAAGTTCACCCATTGTGAGCCATCCATTTCCAGTCAAGAAGGTAATGCAAAACATAGAAAGATCTCCAAGAAGAGAAAATGCTATAGAATCAATGAATCCACCTGCAATGCCAGAGAATTCCCCAGTTGGTAAACTTTTAAATGAAACAGAGTGTGGTATCCTATTTGGTGGAAAGCCCAGTAATGTACAAGATGGTTATATTGCAGAAGAAAAGGGAAACTCAAAGAAAAGGTTACCTGCAGCTGCCCTGGAGTCTTTCAAAGTAAGAAAAAAAATATCAGGAACAAAAAAGGTACTCAGAGTAAAGTGTACATCTATGAAAGTAAAGAAAACAGTAGTTTCACAAATGCCTTGTATCAATAGACAAGGTACTCTAAGACACATTAAAAAATTGGAAGGCAATTTTCAAACCTTAATTAAACAGGTGCCACAAGATAACATTGTAGCCAATGTGCCTCTGAATGTTACTTACCCTCATGCATCTGTTTTGCCTAAAACTGGAATACACAGCAGATTAAATTTAGAGAGTTGCAGATGTATTAGACCAATTTCAGATAAATCCCAAACTGAAGGGGAAGAAAACTGTTCAGATTCTACTAATAAGGAAAATGAAACTACAGATACACAGGAAGCTAAATGGCAAGATGAAGTGAAAGGAAACAAAGAAATGCAGAACCTCAGATTTGATGTACATGCAGAGAAGGAGATTAAAACGGAGGGAGAAATGAATCAATCAATCTCATCCAAAGAAACCCTTGTGGAGACTGTTGACTTCTCCATCATGGATCTACCTTGTGTCCACAGTACGGAGAAAAATCAAACAACACAAAGAGTCATCAGAAGCACCACAGATTCAGAGATGCCTCCTCCACTATCAGGAAAACTACCGAGTGCAGACCCTTCAAGTCAAACAAAAGAAAGTGGTGCTCCAGGCAATGGAAGCGATACAGATGAAATGGGTTACTGTTTTGCTGGAGAAAAGGCGGAATTACCAATAGATGTGCCACCAGCTCACTTCAAAACACCTGTTTTGTCTGATTCTAAACCAAAGAAAAACAGAGTAAGATTTGCAAGCATGACAAGTTTATTGAGACCAAGAAATATAAATATGAAGGCATTGAAGCCATCAGCATCACAAATATTCAGCAACATAGGCCATAGACAGAAATCAGAATTGAACTTTAAGACGGTGGTTAGAAGGATCAGCCAAAGTGAAGGATTGGTCCCTGAGTGTCTAACTACCCTTTATTCTCCTGTTTACAGCCAATTGCAAAGTATTTTCTGTTATGCTCAGTTAAAGCCAGGCAAACCAGCAAAGAAAAATTACATTGATGTTTATGCTAAGAGTAGTGTATTCTGTGAGGGGGATGAAAAATTCCAAGACAAAGAAGAAAATGAACAAAAGCTTTCAGAAGCAGCTCTAGAGCATGGTCAGCACCTGCAGCCTGATGCGTGTCAAATGAAGAAGGCCGGCTTTACGGAGTCAGAGGCCTCACTGACCTGTTCAGCACAGGAGCAACCTATACCTAAGCAGAGATTGCAGAACCAGGCAGGGTTTACAGAAGCTGCCTCACAGGCTACTCTCAAAATGGACCCTGCAGAAGCTGAGGCATTGCAGACAACAAACAAAGCAGAATGTGTGACAAGTGCTGACGGTGCTAAAACTCCACTTCCAAGATCAGGGGACTCATCACGTGGATTCAGTGCCTATCAAGAGGCTCAGGAAGATGATGAACTGGTCAAATCAGGTGAGGCAACGGATGAACCAGATGTAAATACTCAGGTACACCCACAAGCATATTTTACACAGATTATTTTGGGTTCTAGTCCATGCCCTAAACTGGGTCAACTTCAACTTGAAAAGCCAGAGACATACATTTCACTTTCACCTCTTAAGTCTGAGAAAGAAAAGGCTTACACATTTTCTGGAAGAGAAAATGTTATCTTATCTGGAGCAAGCCATCAGAAGCAACAGGCTGATGGCAGCGAAAAGAAAAAGCCAGTGACATTTGAATTGGACATGTCTACTCCATCTACATCTCCAAAGAGGAGAAATTTGAAGCAATTTTCAGACATGAAGATACTAATGAGTCATAGATGTGGAGTTATAAAGGCAAAGAAACCACTGATGTCGTCCATATTCCATATTAAGGGTGGTGCTAGTCCAAATCAAAGAAAAGAATTGGGATACTTGACAACCAAAATAAAAGAAGTTCATCAAAAGAAAGAGGTAGTAGATCAAATGGACTCTGTCATGACTGCTACACCTGATATTAATGTAAATAACAAGATAAAAACCAAAAATGATACATTAAGAGAAAACAAATTCCATTCTACACAAGTAAAGCAAGAAATATCACTTCATGAAATTAGTACTACTTCAGATGGCATTGTTAAAGATGAAGACAAAGAAGAACTTGAACAGCAGGCATTGTTAGAAATACTTCCACAGCACAGCCAACATTTTATGTTCTGTTCGAGTCATAGGAAGGGTCTTGATTTGCATAACAACCAGGGAAGAAGAAAAATTCTTTTTGTTACAGAACAGAGTATCCAACAGCAAATTCAGAATACAAACCCAATGCAAGAGGAGGAGCTGAAAAAAGACCTCTGGCCACAAGATGGCATGACCTGTATACCAAGTTCAAAGCTTCCTCTTTTACAAACAGAGAGCTCAGGAATTGGTTACATTTCAGTTTGCACAGGAAAACACAGTGTCCCAACAGATAGGAACCACATGAGGGAACTGTGTAGTTGGGGCAAAGAGGAAAAGGCAGAGCTTACAAAAGGTCTACAAACACCTGCTGTGGAATCTTTGGCTGCCTCCACTCCTGACATATCCAAATCCAGAAGACGAAGAAAGGCATTTTTCTGTAGACTCTTAAGACGTGAAATGAATCTCAAATATGTTATTATGAAGACAAGGAAAGCACCAACTTCACAGATTTTTAATGTTCCACGATGTGGTTATCTAAAAAATATACCTCCCAAACCCCTGAAATCCCAGGTTGCTGAGTTATTAACATACTCTGGAGTCCTTTCTGATAGGTTTCATGTGGTGGCACTCAACAATCTTATTGCAGTTAAGACAAGATTAGCACAGAAATTACCGACTATAATTCAGGAATCTTTGAATTTCCCTATGCATATGTTATCTGCATCTAAAAGAAGGAAAAACAATTTAAAATTTATAGATAAGAAGCATAAAATAAGTATCAAACGTATAACTTTAAAGGCAAAGAAAGCACTAATCTCTGAGACATTTAATATCACAGGATATGGAATCCCAAACCATGGAAGAAAATTAGAATGCCACTCAAAAACCATGAAGAAACAAAGCAAACCTGTGGCAGACACCATTTCTAGAATCCCTGAGTCTCTTGACATGAACATGTCCAACAGAATGCAGGAGAGAGGCATCCCATGGAAAATGGGATTTAATCTCAAATTGCAACAGAAAGAGCAATTGATACTTAAAGAAAAAGCCCGGCATGCAGATCACAATGAAAAGGTTAGAACTTCAAAAGTCAAAGGACAACGTACAGAAACAGTCCCACTGCTTTGTGAACACTTCAATTTCAATGCTCATGTAGTGAAGGGGCCTAACTATGTGAAATCAGGTCTAGAATTGAAGAATTCAACAAGTGAAAAAATGTCAGAAGCGCTTACTCAGGAGCTGCAGCAACAAACACTTGCCATACAGAGCATATTAGATTCCATTTGGAATTCGTTTCCATTTGAGAATCTACCAAAAAGAACAAAAGCACAAAATGACGTGAATGATGATGGGATTCCAAAGATTCCATCTCCAGTTAGTGGGTCTTTAGCAGTTACAACACAAAATGGCAGCCCATCTGAAAGAAGCCTTCAAAAAGAACTTGCTAGTTCTGTTTCACCAAGAAAAATAAGATTGCAAAAGGATTTGCATGCGAAAATCCTGGCGTCTCTTGATTTTTCCATGCCTGTTTCCTGTGAATTTAAAGCACAAAGAAATACAGTGCAACTCCATAAATCTGTAACTGAAAAAAAACAGATGTCATCAATTTTCAAGACAATAAACATCTCTAAGTATGGTAAGCATCATCATAGAAAGAAACAAAAATTCATGTTGGAAACGATGTGCAAAGAAACATCTCAAGATATGTCAAATGTATTGATCAACACTTTTCCACTTGTACCTGTCTCATCTAGCATTAAAATGCACGATAAAGCAAAAACAGTGAAAAATTCATTAAGAAAAACAAGCAATATTATGCAGCAAAAGAATGACCGAAGGAAAAGATTGTATATATATCCTTCTAATAAATGTAGTATCTTAAGCAACACATTTGAAGGAATGTTGCAAGATGAAGAAGAAAATAAATGTGTCACACACCCATTTTTGTCTCCAATGCCTGCTTCAACTATTGTCATAAAAGATCAAGACATACATGGCAGATCAAAAGCAGAGTTGGACAAACTTAGAATACATGGTTATACTCATCCAGAGACAGAGAAATCATTATTTGATGGGGAAATGCAGAAGGCCAATTTGACTGATAAGCAAAGTAGATACAACAATGCAACAGAAATGCACATACAACATGAAAAGCAGGAAAAAAATATCCAAAGGATATCAGAATCAGTCCCATTCTGTAGCCAACACTTTAATTTTGCTGCACATCAAATGAAAGATCCTGGCCCTCATAAATCAGAGTCTGAGCTGAAGAATTCAGAAATCGTACACAATCAAAATTTATCTTGTGCAGTGCAAGAAACACAACCAAGAGAAATTGTTTTGGAGGCTTCTCACAGACACTTCAATTTTCTTCAAGTTAAATCTTCCAATAAAAGTCCTTGTATACAAAAAGGAATAAAAAGTATGTTACAGCCCAAGGCTCCATTTCAAATGGAGAAATCAGAGATTGGCTCAGTAAAACATGATACTAGCTGGAAGGAAAATCTCAGAGTAAAGCAGGACGACCCTATTTCTGAGAGAAATGCATGGAAGCAAAAATACTTCAGAACAATTTTCAAACCTTTACATTTTTTCAGACTTGTGTCCTCTGATTTCGAAAGCCTCAGCTGCCCACTAGACAAGAAAAGTATGATGATTCTCAAACACAGAATTCTGAAAACAAAGCAACCACCAATTTCACTGGTTTTTAATATCAAAGGATATCCTGCAGGAGGTCATAGGAAGAGAAAGCAACCCAATATTAAGTACAAGATGAAAGAAAGTGTGCAGTATAGGGAAAAAGAGGCCTTACTCGGTGCTGCTGAGGATGCTCAGAGTCCATTTCCCAAATTAATGATGGATGAATTCTTATTTGATAAAGTAGCAAAGAGTACTGTATCTATTAGAGCAATTCAAAAAAATCTGTGTGGTCATATTACAGAGAAAGAGGCAGAGTTGCCAGGAAACTCCAACACAATTCTCTTGGGGTCTTTGAATATTGTCATGCCTGACTCTAATAGCCAAATAAATACAGTGCAGTTATCAGAAAAGGAAATCATATTGAATTATAAATTTTTAATTAAGAAGAAGAAGAAATCACCAAGCTTACAAATACTTAAAATCAGTAGACACTCTAGCACAAAGCATAGAAAAAAATTTGAATCCAATTTAAGAACAAAAATGAAATCCATATGGCAAGGTAAAAATGCAACTGATACATTTTCAGATACCATTTACTTCATGCCACATACTTCTGAAATGAAAAAGCAAAACAGATTTGAAACAGAGACAGACATGAGAATATCAAAGTTTAATAACATGCAAGTGGAATCAGCAGTTGAAGGGGTGGCAGGACACTCCAGTTCCGTTGGCATGAGTGGTGTTTTCAACTTTTTAAAGGAAACAAAGACACCAGCTAGAAAGAGTGAGGAAGAAAAGCCAGAACGTCCAATGGAAATTGTCCCATTGTGTAAAAAGCACTTCATAGTAAATGCATATCTCATGAATGAATCTGACATTGGCAAATTAAAAGACATGTGTTTTAGAGAATCTTATTCCCAAGAAAGTCAACTTTATGAATGTACACCAGAAAATAATAGAAAAGTAGAAAAAAACACACAAGCACACCTGAAAGGTGAGCTGCCAGAAACGGAGAAATCAAATATTTATGCAGAACTATATGAGCCAACAGGTGTTACTATATTGACTATATATAATAAGAAAATAGGTCATTCTGTTTTGCAAGACCAAGCTCCATTTCACTTCACAAAAATTTCCCTGGACTCTGTTGACAGTCATGTGCCTGTTTCAGGGGAAATTAGACAACAAAGCGATAACCTAAAAATGACTGACATGTTAAATCACAGAGATATACATTCGAAGCTATCACTTAATGCTTTAGATCATGCTTCTATAAGTATTGATAAGGGAGACACACAGAACTTTAAAGCTCAGAAGATAGGAGAGGACAGAGATAAAGCTATATTAAATGCACAGCTAAAATCTCCACATACTTCTATGTCTACTGTACACATAAAAATGAAGGAATCACCAAGAACCTGGAATACAATTGAACAATCTTGTGAAAAGTTAAATATGCTGAATAAGTCTAACAATGAGATGACAGAGTATGACCAACAATTTTTGCTGAGCACAGCTCCACAGTGTATTCAGCCATTTGAGTTTGCAGTAGATCAAATGAGAGAACTTGGTCCTTTCAAATCAGAAGCAACTTTGATCAATATAGTATGCCCCAAGAACACCTTTCTTCAGAAAACAGAAATTGACTTAGTGAAGCAAAAACCAAAGATGAAAGTCAGTCCAGAGTCTACTTTTATCTCTAATCCCCTTCAAATTCAAAAGCAAGGGAACGAAGTTAAAAGTGCAAACTGGAAAATAATAGCAAATCCTAAAATTCTTGCCCTGCAAAAGAAACAGCAAGAGCCATGTATCTCAAGAACCCTATGGAATTCATATGCCTACAAACCTAAGTGTCTTGAAATTATAAGCCATAAAAGTAATGCAAAAATGGCATCTGTAAAAAACATTCTGCATATTAAACAGATAAAATTTAAGGGAAAGAAAACACCAGTTTCCCAGCTGCTTGTATATGGTACTAGAAGTAATAAAGAACTGAGAGGCAGCATTCAACAGCAGAGGAGAGTACAGTTGAGTAAACATGCCGGAAGTATAGTTCTGAAAACTGCTTTTGACACTGAATGCCTTAAAATTCACATTAGAAAGTTTATAGACATAAAACACAAGACTGACAAGCTACAGGAACAGGTATGCATTCATCCACTGCTGAAGCTGGAGGCATCAAAGAAAAGCCAAGTGCCGTTTCCGGGATACACTGGTATCCCTGACATCACGCAAGATGATGCAAGAAAAGAGGAGCAAATTCACCAACATACTTTAGCAGATATACCACAGCAATCTATCCAACCATTACAGATTAAGTCACAGAACATGAAAGACCATTATGTCAAATTAGATTTTCAAACAAAGGTGTACTCTGAACAAACTTCACAGAGAGGAGGAGCTGATGACCCTAGGCTTGGTATCTCAGGAAGTATAAGAGGACCAGAAGACTATATTGAAGGGGAAGAGGCGCAGCAACAGAAATATTTGCCAGTGTCAAAGATGTGCAAACTAAAATTGACTGGTGACACCAAACTCAAACTAAGGAAGGAGCCTCTTCATTTGAAAAAGACAGAGGAAATCCAGACAAAACAAGATCTGAAACTATCAAATCTGCAGAGGAAAAGAGGATTGAAGGCAACTAAGAATCTACTAGGTGCAAACGAACAATTCTGTATCCCAGGGCCATTGGCAAAGCAGCAGCCTTTCACAGCAGTTCTGCTGGAATCCATCTCCTCTTGCATACTGGATCGGTTTCATGCTGAGAAGCCAAAGCCAGAAGTTAACACAAAAGGCACATTTTTAAAGAGTTTGTCTACACAGGTAACGAAAATCTCAAAGAAAGATTATACAAGTGTTTTAGATGTGGATCACAGAGCAAGAAATATTGAAAGAATACTCTTGCTTATTAAAGAACAAGAGAATAGGAGGAAAAAAAAGAGAAAGGATAAAGAATTTGAAACAGAAATAGACATGAATGCAACAGTGAATCCCAATTTGATTCCAAGATATTCTTCTGCTGGATTACAACTTATTAATGCACGAAAGAATGTTAACATATTCAAGCAAAGAAAGAGAAAAGAAATAGATGGGCCTGTGGCTATACAATGGAGACAGCAAAAGTTTCATGGTCTGGGTACTATCTCAGATTCTGTTCATACAAATGAGTTTATTTCTACTGAAGTTGTAAAGAACAAAGGAGGAAAAACTTTATTGAAAAATGCTCTGTATCCCCAAAGGATAAAAATGAAGGCAAAGAAAGCACCCATTTTCCAGCTGCTTAATGTTACAGAATATGGAATCCGAAGCAACAAGAAGGTACTGAAATGTAACATTAGGAAACAGAAGGGATACCAGCAGGGCAAAAGCATAGCGGTTTTAGTTCAGAATGCTAACTACAATTCTGGCTGGGTAACATCTCATGCCAAAGAGGATATAAAAGTAAAAAGGGTAACGGACCAAACAACAAAGCAGAAATGCATTCCTTTACAACTACGAGTAAAGAAATCACTAGGTAAAGCCAAAAGACCATATATACAGCCCAATGATAAGAGTGCCATGCTAAGCACTTTTAAAACATCACACCAACAAATTAGAAAGCAAAAAGAAAAACAAGTTGTGTTGCTAGACATTCTCCCACAATATGGAGGTCAGTTAGTGATTGGCAAACATGTACCTGAGCCTGACCATGGCAACTTTGACACAGATTTGGAAAGAAAACCATGTGCTCTTCTACTTTCACAGAAGAGAGAAATAAATTATAATATGTTTGACACCCCAAGAATTAGATCAGATCCAGAACTTGAATTCATCAATGCACAAAGTGTAAAGGAGAGAGATGTAGACATTGCTGCCAAAGGTTCAGTTTCTATTCCACAGAGAAGAAAAAGATCAAAAAAACTGAATATTTTAAGTTCAAAAAGGCGGAACATAATTTTTGCAAAGTTGGTTATTTCTCAACAAAAGATTTGCAAGGAGCAAAAACTACAGAATCAATGTACTTCCAAGACAGATCAGGAGCCAGTTGCTTACTATGTTACAAAACCCCTTCATTTGAAAAACACAGGGAAGGTAGTGAAGGAAGAAGATGAGTGTATTAGCCTAAAAACTATATCCCATTCATTGGGAAGACAATCAAAGGAAACCAATATTCCCTTGGGTTTCAAAGGACAAGAATTTATTTGTTCTGTTGTAGAGGCTCAGAACAAAATGTGGGCAGTACAGAAAGGGCTAGTGAAACAAGGTAATGTTGCAGAAAGTACCATGGCTTCTGGATCTCGCACCAGTAGTGACATTCATTTGAAACAAGCAGCGGCCACACCAAGGAAAGAAAGTGAGAGCAATGAAAAGCTACAGGAAAAAGATCAAGCAAAGTTAAGTGATAGTTCATTAAAATCAAACAAACTGAAAGTGGATTTTTCAAAAAGCTTGTTACTGAAGCAGCAAAACATTTGTAATCAGAATAAAGAAAGAATTCTGGAATCCATTTCCTCTTGTATATTGCATAAAATTTATACTGATAGTTCGAACAAGGAGGTTTCAGCAAAACAAATAATGAGGTCAAAAGGATTGAGCCTAAAGGTACAGAAAAAAACAAATGATGTAGATCAACCTTCAAGTTCAGAAGGAATTAATTTGCATAATATAAACAGAAAAGAATATCAACAAGAAAGTACATGTGAGGCTTTTTCAACATCTAATTCTCCACTGGATGCATATCAGATTAAGTTGCCATGGGTAAAGAAAGCAGTCAAGACGGAAGATAGTCCAGCGTACCATAATACAAAAGTGGAAGAAGTTGATTTGTTTACTATAAGAGACGGAAAACAGCAAAAAACCACTATTATAGAACCTGCATCTCACTCCAGAACAAATCTAGTTGAAATTAGTACCTCAGTACACCGAGTAATATTAGATGCTATTCATTGTGACAACACAACTTCACAAAATAAAGAAGCATTAAAACAAATGGATTTCCTAGCTGAAGATATTAAAAATAATAAAGAACAAGTCCTGCTCAGCTCAGGGAAAAAACAGAAGCACAAATCAGTTTCCTCTGAGAACCTTGTGAAGCATAAATCCTACCCACAGGATTTTCCCTGTCTTCTGCAACATTTGATGCCTCAGACAGAGAACGCATTATCAAAATTAAATAAGCTACCAGGCAGAAAAGAGGAATCTATCGTGCCCTCAAGTACTCAAAGGGAAATGAAAAAACAAAATACAGTACTACCTTTAGAATTGTGCAACAGGGCCATAAACCATATGAATCTTTTATTTTCAAAAGGAATGAAATCATCAGATGTGGCAAAGATGTTTGGTTCAATATCAAATGGAAGCACACCAAAGCTAAGAATTAGTAGTAGGAAAGAGGAATCACATAAGGCAAATCAAAAGATGTACAAAGAAATAGGTCTACCTGGAATTTTTTTGCATTCTCTTTCTGTATGTATGCCCATTTTGAATGCATATAAAGCACAGAAGAATAACATAGAACAAGTATTTACAAAAGACATAATATATGCCCATAGAAGAGCTCTGAGGTTGAGGAGATCAATAGTTTCACATGTACTCAATACCACTGACTCTGGTACCTCAAGCAAGAGACTAGACCTACAGTGGAACATACAAGAGAACATTGTAACTGTGGAACGTAGAAAAAAAACAGATTTGGCTGTGACAAAAATAGATGAGCCCATTCCTTCTTTGCCTGTTCTTAAATTGAATAAAGAGAGAACTGATGGGGTTCTGCTAAATAATGTAAAAAGAACACCAAGTACATCATGGGAAGATAAGGTTAGAGTAAAAACAGTGGAAGACTCCAAGATTATTTTGAAGGCAGAGGAATCATCACTACCATATGTACCTGATGGAAACAGAATGCCTTTGGTTCTGAACATGACAAAACCAGAGAGTAAGGTACAAGAGGATAAAGGCACATCAGCTGAGCACCTGACAAATTCATATCCTTCCTTAGCATGCCTTTCCCATCCTAATTTAAATTCAAGAACAAAATTAGGAAAAGATATATTGGGAATACAAGGCAAGTGCCTTCCACCAACATTTCAATCATTATCAGATGTCAGAAAAACACTATTTAGAGATTCAACAAGTAGACATAGTTCAAGTAGTGCTATCGATTCAACATGCCTGCCACAGGAAAAGAAGGCAGGTAGAGAAAATATAATAGATGCAAAAGACATAATTGACCTCATATGTATCACTTTGCAAGGAAAGAAGTCACCTTTTAAACAACCACTGTGTGGAGCAGAGCCACAATGTGCCAACAGAGGGCAAGAAAAAATAATAAAAATGAGACAGGAACATAAAGGTAGTTTAAAGATAGTTCAGAGTAAACCCCAGGCTTTTGTTCCTTCTTCAGCTCGCTTGATATGGGACCACAGAATAAGAGATTTATACACACAAGGGATTACAAGATTTTGTCTTCCACCATTAACACTCCAGGAATTATCAGAGACAACAGAAAAATATGAGAAAACAAGTGATAATATTTTAAGCAGTATTAAAAAAGCAAAATGTGTATCACAAAATGATAGGAAGGAAAAATCATTGGCAGAAATAACACATTTGCGAAGACTAACTTTTACAACAGGGCAACCTATAGTGTCACAGGAATTACAATTGAATCTTGATGAAGGAAAGAAAAAAATGCAGGAAGATGAAACTAAACAAGTTGAAATTCACAGCAAATCTGCCATCTCTTTTCTATCTCACTCTGAAGTGGGCACAAGAGGAGAGGAAGCCATGCCAACAAAAACACCATTCTCTGTTCTACAACGGAAGCTCCAGGAGTCATCATATATAGAAAAAATTGTACCACAAAAGTTTATACCTGTTCACATCTCAAATAGTGTAAAAAACACCATAGGACATATAATACAGGAAGAAGAGGAGAGAAGAAAAGTAGAAAATGCCAGGCCTTGGAAGAAAAGTACATTATCAGTTACACAGGAAATTAAGTTGGATGGTAAAGACAAAAAGATACAAAAAGTTAAAGATGAAACTCCCATTCCTTCTCCTCATCTAAAATGGAGTACACAAATCGAAAAAGCAGACTGTGTAACTGACATAATAATTCACACTTCCCCAGAATTATCACAGCAGAAGTCAAACATAGGAACAAAAGAAAAAGAATCTTTTGAAGGTGATGTTACAAATAAAGTGCAAAATGTGATGGAACTAGTCCCAAATAAAGAAGATAATGTAAGGATAATAACCAAGAAATACACAAAAGGAAACAAAGCACTTTCATGGAGCCTTTCATTGAATCCTGAGAAGCAACAGAAGGTGGATCGAGAAGGTGAAGATCAAGAAAAAATTGGTCGAGAAAGCAATGAGCCATTAAAAGCAAATGAAGGTAAAGAACCAGAAAAGGCAGTTCCAGGAGACAAAGAACAATGGAAAGCAGGTCAAGAAAGCAGGGAGCAAGGAAAAACAGATTCAAGAGGCAGAGAGGCAGGGAATGTGGATATCCAAAGCAAAGAAGAAAGGGTGGATCCAAAAAGGAAGCAGCAAAGGAACACAAAAGAAAATGAAGAGAAGGGAAAAGGGGACCCAGAAGGCAAAGAAGTGGGTAATACAGCAGCAGAAGGCAGAAAAATAAGAAATGTAGATCATGAAGGCAGAAAACAAGGGAACATAGATCCAGAAGTTAGAAGGGAAAGAAATGTAGCTCCAGAAGTTAGAGTCCAAGGTAATGTAGATTCAGAAAGTAGAGACCAAAAGAATTTAAATACAAAAAGAAGAGAAGTAAGGATTATAGATCCAGAAGGCAGAGAACAAGGGAATGTAGATCCAGAAGGTAGAGAAGCAGAAATTATAAATCCAGAAGGCCAAGAGGTAGGAAGTATGGATCCAAGAAGCAGAGAAGTAGGGATTGTAGATCCAGAAACCAGAGAGGAAGGCAATGTAGATCCAGAAAGCAAAGAAACAGCAATTGTAGGTCCAGAAGGCAGAGAGCTAGGGAATATAGATCCAGAAAACAGAGTCCAAGGGAATTTAAATACAAAAAGCAGAGAAGTAGGGAATGTAGATCCAGGAGGCAGAGAAGTAGGTAATACAGCAGCAGAAAGCAGAAAGATAAGAAATATAGATCCAGAAGGCAGAGACCAAGGGAATGTAGATCCAGAAGGCAGAGAAGCAGGGATTGTACATCCAGAAGGCAGTGACCTAGGGGATGTGGATCTGGAAGGCAGAGACCAAAGAAATTTAAATGCAAAAAGCAGAGAAGTGGTGATTGTAGATCCAGAAGTCAGAGACCAAGGGAATGTGGATCCAGAAAACAAAGAAGTAGGGAATGTAGATCCAGAAGATAAAGATGTAGGGAGTGTGGATCCAGAAGACAGAGTCCAAGGGAATGAAGATTCAGAAAGCAGAGACCAAAGGGTTGTAGATGCAGAAGGCAGAAGCCAAGGGAATGTAGATCCAAAAGGCAGAGACCAAGGGAATGTAGATCCAGAGAACAAAGAAGTAGGGAATGTAGATCCAAAAGACAGAATCCAAGGGAATGTAGGTCCAGAAGACAGAGTCCAAGGAAATGTGGATCCCGAAGACAGAGTCCAAGGGAATGTGGATCCAGAAGACAGAGTCCAAGGGAATGTGGATCCAGAAGACAGAGTCCAAGGGAATGTGGATCTCGAAGACAGAGTCCAAGGGAATGTGGATCCCGAAGACAGAGTCCAAGGGAATGTAAATCCAGAAGATGGAATCCAAGGGAATGTAGATCCAGAAGACAGAGACCTAGGGAATGTAGATCTCGAAGACAGAGTCCAAGGGAATGTAGATCCAGAAGACAGAGTCCAAAGGTTTGTATATTCAGAAGACAGAGTCCAAGGGTTTGTATATTCAGAAGACAGAGTCCAAGGGAATGTGGATCCCGAAGACAGAGTCCAAGGCAATGTAGATCCCGAAGACAGAGTCCAAAGGAATGTAGATCCCAAAGACAGAATCCAAGGGAATGTAGATCCAGAAGACAGAATCCAAGGGAATGTAGATCCCGAAGATAGAGTCCAAGGCAATGTAGATCCAAAAGACAGAGTCCAAGCGTTTGTATATTCAGAAGACAGAGTCCAAGCGTTTGTATATTCAGAAGACAGAGTCCAAGGGTTTGTATATTTAGAGGACAGAGTCCAAGGGAATGTAGATCCAGAAGACAGAGTTCAAGGGAATGTGGACCCAGAAGACAGAGTTCAAGGGAATGTGGATCCAGAAGACAGAGTTCAAGGGTTTGTATATTCAGAAGACAGAGTCCAAGGGAATATGGATCCCAAAGACAGAATCCAAGGGAATGTAAATCCAGAAGACGGAATCCAAGGGAATGTAGATCCCGAAGACAGAGTCCAAGGCAATGTAGATCCAGAAAACAGAGTCCAAGCGTTTGTATATTCAGAAGACAGAGTCCAAAGGTTTGTATATTCAGAAGACAGAGTCCAAGGGAATGTGGATCCCGAAGACAGAGTCCAGGGGTTTGTATATTCAGAAGACAGAGTCCAAGGGTTTGTATATTCAGAAGACAGAGTCCAAGGGTTTGTATATTCAGAAGACAGAGTCCAAGGGAATGTAGATCCAGAAGACAGAGTTCAAGGGAATGTGGATCCAGAAGACAGAGTCCAAGGGAATGTGGATCCAGAAGACAGAGTTCAAGGGAATGTGGATCCAGAAGACAGAGTCCAAGGGTTTGTATATTCAGAAGACAGAGTCCAAAGGTTTGTATATTCAGAAGACAGAGTCCAAGGGAATGTGGATCCAGAAGACAGAGTCCAAGGCAATATAGATCCGGAAGACAGAGTCCAAGGGTTTGTATATTCAGAAGACAGAGTCCAAAGGTTTGTATATTCAGAAGACAGAGTTCAAGGGAATGTGGATCCAGAAGACAGAGTCCAGGGGTTTGTATATTCAGAAGACAGAGTCCAAGGGAATATGTATCCCAAAGACAGAATCCAAGGGAATGTAAATCCAGAAGACAGAATCCAAGGGAATGTAGATCCAGAAGACAGAGTCCAAGGGAATGTGGATTCAGAAGACAGACTCCAAGGGAATATAGATCCGGAAGACAGAGTCCAAGGGAATGTAAATCCAGAAGACGGAATCCAAGGGAATGTAGATCCTGAAGACAGAGTCCAAGGGAATGTGGATTCAGAAGACAGACTCCAAGGGAATATAGATCCGGAAGACAGAGTCCAAGGGAATGTGGATCCAGAAGACAGAATCCAAGGGAATGTAGATCCTGAAGACAGAGTCCAAGGGAATGTGGATCCCGAAGACAGAATCCAAGGGAATGTAGATCCTGAAGACAGAGTCCAAGGGAATGTGGATCCAGAAGACAGAGTCCAAGGGAATGTGGATACCGAAGACAGAGTCCAAGGGAATGTGGATCCAGAAGACGGAATCCAAGGAAATGTAGATCCTGAAGACAGAGTCCAAGGGAATGTAGATCCAGAAGACAGAGTCCAAGGGAATGTAGATCCAGAAGACAGAGTCCAAGGCAATATAGATCCGGAAGACAGAGTCCAAGGGAATGTGGATCCCGAAGACGGAATCCAAGGAAATGTAGATCCTGAAGACAGAGTCCAAGGGAATGTGGATCCAGGAGACAGAGTCCAAGGGAATGTAGATCCTGAAGACAGAGTCCAAGGGAATGTAGATCCAGAAGACAGAGTCCAAGGGAATGTAGATCCTGAAGACAGAGTCCAAGGGAATGTAGATCCTGAAGACAGAGTCCAAGGGAATGTAGATCCAGAAGACAGAGTCCAAGGGAATGTAGATCCTGAAGACAGAGTCCAAGGCAATATAGATCCGGAAGACAGAGTCCAAGGGAATGTGGATACCGAAGACAGAGTCCAAGGGAATGTGGATCTCGAAGACGGAATCCAAGGGAATGGAGACCCAGAAGACAGAGTCCAAGAGATTGTAGATCCGGAAGACAGAGACCTAGGGAATGTGGATCCAGAAAACAAAGAAATAGGAAATGTGGATTCAGAAGGCAGAAAGGAAGGGAGTCTGGTCCCTGGAGACAGAAAAGTGGAGAATGCAGATCCAGAAATGAGAAAGCAAGGAAGCATGAATCCAGCAACCATGGATGTGGGAAATGTGGATGCAGAAACTGTAGAGCAAGAGAACATGAATTTAATAACCACAGAAGATGTAAATGTGGCTCCAGAAGGCAGGGTACAAGAAAACCTGAATCAAGGCAAGTATCAGCGGAACATGAACTCAGAAAGCAGAGATGTAAGGTATATGGATCCAAAAAAAAGAGAACAATTGAACACCATTGCAGAGGGCAGAGAGGAAAGGAATGCAGACCCAGAAACTGGGGAGCAAGGGCGTGAAGATCCAGAAACTGAGAAAGAAAGGAATGCAGATCTAGAAGGCAAGGATCAAGATAGTGTGGACCCAGAGAGCACAGACATAGGGAATGCAGATCTAGAAAGCAGAGAACAGGGTAATATGGACCAAGAAGGCGAAACGTTAGGTAACACAGATCCAGAAATGAGAGAACAATGGGGTTTGGATTCAAAAGACAGTGAACCAGCGAACATGGGCCTGGGAACAAGGGGGCTGGAGAACATGGATTCAGAAGCCAGAAAGCAATGGAAAGCAGATCAGAAAAGCAAGGAGCTGGGAAATCCAGCTCAGGACAGCTCCCAGGAAGGAGGAACACGCCAAGAAGATAAAGATGAAGAAGAAGTCGTTCTGTTCATACATTTACCTTCTGTTTCGTCACTATCTGAATATGAGCCAAGCACAAGGGAAGAAAAAGAGAACCAAGAAACAAAAGCTTCTATTTCACAGAAATCATTAGCTGCTTGGAATATGGCAATCAGGGATGAAATCTCAAATAACATAGAAAGAGAGCATGAGCCACATAAACAACTGGATGGAGAAGAAACTACAATAAGCATGAACTATGATATTCATGCCGAAGGCATGGATCCCAAGGCAAAGCAATCGCCACCAGCTCCACAGTTCCTCAGTCTCAGTGGGGATAGTGGTTCTAGATCTTCAGTGGTGCTGATAAATGGAAGAGAAAACTCGGAGCCTACACAGGAAAGACAAAGTGAACTAGACGAAGCTCTGACATTATCTTCTGTCTCTCTCTCTCACTTAGACAGAGGACTCAAAAGTGAGGATGAGGAACAGGAAGTAACAACTTCCTTGCCACCATCCTCCCGGAGTGTAGAATCACCCAGCACAGAGGAATTAAAATACCCATTGTCACCTTTGAGTGATATCACAAGCAATTCTGAAAGAACAAAGTACATAACACAGCTAGAAGAAGATAAAGCAAAAATTTCTGAAGAATGCATGCTGCATCCCACATACATGGATGTTGAGGCAAAAAAATCACACTCTTCACATATATTTGAAATAAATAATCTGCAGAAAAACCTCATAGACCAAGAGAAACAGAGACAGGAAACAACCAAGCCCCTGAGTAAAGTGCGTTCTTTCACTTATTCTTCAACTCACTTGAAATTAGAAACAATAAAAGAAGAGAATGAGGAGCCAGACTTAATACAAAGTTATGTGCCACATCCTGTGTTCCAGGAATCACTACCTTCAGGACAAGTAGCAGCTGCAGAGTCCACTGCTAACCAAGTAAAGAGCAAAGATCAACACCTACCACAGGAAGAAGGCAGAGTACAGACATTAGCCATGAATGGTTTCACTCACCCCCTCGGCATCATTTTTGAAGCAGAGAAATCAAAACCTCCATGTGGGCATAGATTTGTGGAGCACAGTTCTCCACATGAGAGAAAGGAAAAAGCATGGGGCATTAAAGAAAAATTAGGACAGAAGCAGAACAGAACATTATGCCCTGATGTGGTTCTGACAAAGATGTATCCTTCCATGCCTTCTCCAGCTCACCATGCATCCTTTCCTGCACAGTCAAAGCCTCTTACCTCATCATATCCAGGCCAAATTACCTGTGCAGATCCAAATGAAGGTATTGGATCACAAAATCAACACGTCATTGACTACAAACAAGTCAGTGACAAAGGAAAAGCAGAGGATGCAACAGGGAGAATAATGCTCCAAACAGTAATTTTAAAAGGAGAGAGAAAAACACCTGCACATCTATGTTCCAGAAAGAAAGCATCTTTGAGTTATAGAGAGCAAAGGAAAGAGGTGCAGGGAAGGAAAACTGGACCACAAACGATCCGGAGGAAAAGTTTTGCTTCATTGCCTTTTCTGTCTTACCTGAGATGGGATGAAGATGTGGAGGAAAAGGAAAGCACACAACAAAGAACACAGTCTGGCTTTCTGCCCCCAAAAATTCAAGATCAACCCGTCTCGGACAAGAAAACATGTGCCGAGTCATTGCATAGTTGTATGTTAAGCTACAGAAATGACACAATAAAACCTAGACCACGTCATGGAGAAAGAGATAGAATAGACATAAAAGACAAATTGCTTCCTGAATGTATGGATCAGAAGGTGAGATTACCACTTCCACATGTACTGAGTATCAAAGAATTGCAATGGAAAATTAAGCAACAGAAGAGCAAGATGGAGCAAGAGGCAAATAGACTAATCACGAGTGTGACAAGCAGAGCTACCAAACTGCCTCTCCCACAATTACAGTTCCAGGAATTATCAGATGCAGGAAGAATAGCATGCTCAGAAACAATCGCTGGAGAACTTCCAAATGAAGTAAGAGAATTTAAAAAACACATGCTTCAGAAAGAAATGGCTAGAAAACAAATTATGGATATAAGTAGTAAAATGAATACCAATCTTACATACTTGAAGACAAAAAAATCACCTCTGTTACCTACACACAGTTTAGGAGACCTTCAGTGCCAAACTAGAAGCCCAGAACAAGAAGTCAAGGATGTTAAAAACAAGACACAAGTGGCTTTGTCTGAGACTTCTGCGTCTAGACCTTGCATACTTTACCTTGACATGAATACAGGAATCAAGGAAGAAAACACACCAGTGTTAACAAAGTCCTCTCTTCCCATTGAGTATGTCCAGAAATTCTCAGATTCCGAAGGAGGCGTATATGTAAAGCCAACTACTGGTGATATTTTAATCAGTCCACAAAAGGGAAACCAATATATGCTGCAAAAGAAAGAAGAAGACAGAGTACAAATAGTAAACATTATAATGTTTCCCAAACATCCAGAAATGAAGGCACCAGAAGGTAAATGTGAATCAGATTTGCTCATGATCAAATCTCCTACTTCATTATCATCTCAACTTCATCTCAAAATGGATAAAGAAATGCATGATGAAATGCTAAAACTGACAAGAACTGTTTTGCAGAGAATATCAAATGTGGGGAAAGCAGTGACTGAAGACTCACTTGGTGGTGATATCATGAAAGATGTTGAAGACAGAAAACAGGAGGTGTGGGACAGAAGGAAAATTGTTGATAGAAGAGGCACTGATGTAACTTTGAAGTCAAAGAAATCAGCTCCTTCTTCTAAACTCCACAGAACAGAACTACATGTGAATATCCAAGGAAAAAAACAAAAGGAATGTGAAGGTCTAGGTGGACCACAAAGCGTCACTCTAAGAAAAATGTATGCTTCCAAAGCATCACCACCTAACCCTAAACTGGATAAATGTGTGCAAGTAGAGCAAAGACTGGGAAGTAAAGCGTTGGCTCTTGTCCCAGTGATGCTTTCAGCATTATCAGATGCAGACAAGACAGCAGGTGCAGACACAGTGAATAGTGATGTAAGAAATGGCAACCAAAAATATGCATTGCAGGAAGAAACAAGGTATCAAGTGAAAACGGTAGATCTGAGCATAAGAATGCATGACAAAGTGACAAAAATGTCCCAAATTTCATCTTTCCTTAATGCAGAGGCATTTGTGTTGAATATCAAAATGCCAGAGAAAAAAGAGCATGGAGGAAAAGGTGAATCATGTGTGGTTCTGACCAGGACTTTGGTTTCTATGCCATCAGCACCTCACCTGTATCTTGAATCAGGGAGCCAAATAGACAAAGACACACCAAGAATTACAGAATCCTCTTGTCCACAGCAAAATCTTCAGAAGTCACTGGATGCCAAGAAACTAGCAAATAGAGAATCAGTTGAAAGTGATTGTAAAAATATTGTTAGGGAAACAGAACGCTTCAAAGAGGCAGAGCAACCTGGGCCTTCAAACTTCATGGTCACTGTCCAGCCAAGGGATGAACCTGCACGTGTAAAATCAGACCAACACATCTATTTTCCAGGATTTGGTACTAGTGGAAAAGGGCTAGAATGGTTCTTTACCAGACAAAAAACTAAGCGCAAACAATATGAAAAAGAAACTCTTACCACGTTTCCTTCCTGCTCCACAGGAAATCTTAAGAAAGAAATGGAAAAACTGGATCATTTAAGCCAGAAACCAAGTCCCAGAATTTTAGTTTCACTGCCAATGGAAATATCCAGGGAAATACTTGTCGCAATTGGCACTGCTATACCTGCAAAAGGGTTTTCTGGTCCAGAAGTAGATACTCACCAACAAGGAACTTCATCAAGAGCATCTGTAGGATCTGTGGATTCGTGTAAATTTGGTAAGTCACAGAAGGACGTCGGGAGGAGAAGTGATGCTAGAACACCGTCTTCCAAGGTGTTAGTAACACACAGAAAGGGATTGCTTGAAAAAATGAATGTCACCAAGTCAAATACCACTCAAGATGTGGAAGAACAAGAAACCGTCATTAAAAAGCAAGGTATGCTGTGGTCTGAAAGTAGACACGAGACCAGGCCAAACTCTATCTGTTCTCTTACACTTTTACTTCAAAATGGAAAGCAAAGCACATTCTTGGGAACAGTTGAAGACAAGACTACTGTATGTCCCAGTGTACAAACATTACCTGGAACACACATGGGTGTTACAAAGCCTGAAGCCAGAGGAAGACACAAAGAACACACATGGTCTACTTCCCACCAAGAGGAGCTCATTGCAGATCTGGAGGAAAAAGATGAAACTGACTCAAGCATCACTGCAAAGCTAAAATTGAAAGAAATAGAAATGGGCAAAAACAACATTGTGAATCAGAAAGAAGACAAATTTAAAATGGACATATGTAAATTTGTACATCAAGAGGGCATAATACAAGTGTCTAAGAGTGCTGTTGGTCTGAAGAAGCAGCAAGTCAGAGTGGGCCAGAGCAGCACCATGAACCTTCCTGAATCTCAAGTTAATCAGAAAATCTCTCATTTAGAGAACAACTGTGTAGTCAAGCAAAAACATAAAAAGAAACAAAAAATGTCGGATTCAGAACAAGTCATTCAACTACAAAAATTATTTCAAAGAAGAGTTCTGGATTCACTTTATGCCTGCATTCCTTTTGTGTCCAAATCTGAAGGCCAGAAAGGTAGAGTAGTAATTACAGATCCGAAGAAAGAATTGAGACCCAAATATTTAACTGGCATGAACAAATCAAAGAATTTTGTTTCATGGAGTGAAGACACTTTGGGAATAGTAATCAAAAGTGTTTCCATTTCCACAATGGGTCCACCTGACACTGAAGAAGCAGTAGGATCTAAGACAAACCGAACAAGAGAAAAGAGAAAGTTTGTTTCTAAATCCCAGGAGGAATGGCTAAATGTTAGTCAAATTGTTAGGAAAGACACGTTCACAATTGTAAAAGAGGAAGACAATTTCAAAAACACAGCTCCACAGGATTACCAGTCTTCTGTGGTGGATGAACGACATAGGCAGAGATTGCCTATCAACAAATCAGAAGCAAAGCTTAGAGGTGAAATAAAGAAGAAAAGGAAAGAAAGCGTTGTGCCATGTCATGATGACTCAAAGATCATTCAGAAATCTGACTTGTCTGTGCTTGATGAAGGAGAAAAGATACCAAACTCCATTCTGACATCCACAAAATGTCCATTTGTGTTCCAAGAGCCAGAGAAAAATATGGAAAATCACAGAAAAAGGACTGTCAATGTGAATCCGGCACCTCTAGGGGTGGGAGAACCGCAGTGTGCCACTCAGCAATTGGATGCCATGGAGTGTCCCCTACTACAGACGCAAAGAGACCAGAATGAGCCAGTAGGTGACACAAACACACAAGAAGCTGTTCCAGCAACTGTGCCCGTGCCACCCCAAGCTAGAAGCAGTGCCATTGGAACAGCTGCAAATAGCAGGAGTACAGAATATTTACTCCCTATTTTTGAAGTAGTTAAGAACATACTTGAAGCTCAGATAAAAAATATGTTCCAAGATAAAGCTTCTTCTGATAAGGGGGAAAATATTCTAACCCTTGAATGTGATGACTTGAAATCACTACCTGTTCCACAGCGTCCAGAGACAGCATCACTAATGTATACCAAACTGCAGCACAAACCTCTTTTGAAGCACTTTACTCTTGAAGAAAAAAATAAATTCACCAGCCATTTGGGGTTAAAAGCACTCGAAATAAGGCAGAATCTGATACCAGACATAGCAAAACATTCGTTACAGAAGGTCAACTTTTATCCAGTTGGGGCTATTTCACATGATAATAACTTAGACAGATTGATGAACTTTATGCCTCCAGAAGGAGTTGGTAAGAAAGAACTTAATTTGGACTACGAATATCAAAACAGTTCATCTCCTAAGAAGAAACCGACTGCTCATGTTTCAAGCGACAGCAAGAAGGCCGTCACGCAGCTTAAGAGAACTAGAAAGCTCCAAAGTGGCCCATCCCCCGTGTCTCCTCTCAGTGGGATGGCTCTGCTCCATGTTCTCCAGATCTACTCCGTCCAAGAAAAAGACAAACTTCTCATGCACTTTTCTATGAAAACACTGGAGATACGAATGGAAACGCTTCCCCAAACTGTGAGAGAATCTTATGCAATGGCCAGTGCTCATGATAGAACTAAAACTTTATGTAACTGTCTTCATTCTACCGCGAAAGTACCAAAACAACAGAACAGAATCTTCCTATTTTCTGAGGAAAAATCTCTTCATCTAATAGACCTTGATTTACAATACAAATATCTTCGTTTTCTCTTGGGGCTTTCTATGGAAAGCATGTTCCCTAAGCCAAATGTACTTCCCAAACATGTTCTTAAATTAAACCCAAATGCGATATGTAAGAAAGTCAACGAGAGCAGGGAAAGTCGTCGTCTTTCCATTGAAACAGAGTCGTTAGAACAACATATCTCTCTCAAAAAGCAAAGTCCTCATGAAAATTTTACACTCATGAGAAAATTCCAGGAGCCAGTGCATACACACTATTCTGACCCTGGGCTCCACAGCACAGTGCAGGAAACTCCTGGAGTTCTTACCGAGTTAAAATCCCATGTGACTCCAGAAAAACAGAAGCAATATCATGTCTGCTTTCGAGAAACAAATATATCTAAATCTTTTGACTTACAGACTCAGGAAAAGGCTCCTAGTTTAATTGGTTCACCTTCAACTCAAATTTCTAAAGCTCCTACTGATATTCAGACCAATCCTGAGAAGTCAGCTGACTTGCAAGAATGTCTGGTTTCAGAAGTGCATGCAAATGAAAAATGCATGCTTTTAGAAACCGATTCTTTGTTAAGACAAGACTCACAAAACATTCAAGTACAAAAAGGCATTCCTATGGGAAATCTCTACAAGAAGAAAGAGACCACTATTCATTTGAAAACGTCTCACCCGGAGGGTTCAGGTTCTTATCGCGTTAGTGCCTGTAGAAAACACACGTTAATTATGACGTCAACTTCCTATGAATCCCAGAAAAGTGAGAAACTGGGTGCATCAGGCAAAAGGCACTCTCCTGCCACCTTGTGCCACACTTCATTAAACGTGATGGAACTTCAGTCCTCCTCGCTATCGCTCAGTGAGGAGCACAGCTCACCTACCACCACAGAAAGCAGAACAAGTTACTCCTTAGCTTCCCTAACTGAAGCAAACATTCAGTTACATCTTGGGCAAAACCCAGAATGCAAAAACAAAAAGAAAGGCAAAGTTAACTTATTCAGAAGGAACAATGTTCACTGGGACTTGGATCACAGTTACGCATGCAGCAAGGATAAGCACACGAGAAAGAAGAAAGTGAGGGGTCATGAGTCACGGAGATTGGATCATTTCCAGAGCAAAAATAGGTCAATACCAAAATGTCATCATGAAGCTATCAGCTCCCATTCTGAAAGAAAACAAAGCGAGCCATTTTTTTACGTCTGTACCCCTGCAGATGCGCTGGACGTTGTACCCAAAACCATTCGTTGGGTCATCCCCTCTAAAACCTTGAAGAAGAAAGCCTTCAGAGTCCCTGTGGTGGCAAAAATTTCAAATCCTTGGAATATATGGAGTGCATCCAAAAAGCTATGGAAGTCACTCACGGGTCCCTTTATTTAGTACAAAGCTGATCTTACCATATCTCAAGTCCTCTGAAATGGAAAGCTGATTGCTATGGTGGTATTCTGGGAAAAAAATAAAGCAATGGAATGCCAACTGGTTTCTTCATGAAGTGATTTCTTAGTCGATATATTTTGCTTCTACAGTAGATTGGTGTCATGGTCTCAGGAGACTAAGATGAATAAGTAGTTGACTAGCTATGATCCTGCAATGCCTGAGTTCTCCTTTAGTCTTTGCTGCCTCATCTTAATCCTGAGAGGGGAAGTCCACACACTGCACCACTGCCCAGAGGGAGAGTGGGAGGGATTGTAGCTGTGGCTGAGAGAGTTGGGACACAGGGTCGTAGAAACTGGAGAGTGAGTTTCAGAAGGCAACGAAGATTCTGTTCGTACCAAATGATGCAAAATACAGGGATTAGTGCAATTAGTACTGAGTTTTAGCCACTTGATTTGACAGCTGAATATTTGAATAATTTTTATTATATAGGAGTTTGTGTGCGCGCGCGTGCACACACACACACAAGAGTATGATGGACTTCTGTGTTCTATGTACCCACTACCTAGACCTCAGATTTTAAGCTTTTTTTGATTGCAAAGACACATTTACAGAGAGAAGAAACAGAATGATCTATCTGCTGGTACGCTCCCCAAGTGTCACAATGGCCAGCGCTGAGCCAATCTGATCTGAAGCCAGAAGCCAGGAGCTCCTTTCAAAGCTTTGGACAATCCTCTGCTGCTTTCCCAGGCCATATTCCAGGAACTGCGTGGGAAGTGGAGCCGCCCAAATGGGATTCCAGCACTTGCAAGGTAAGGATTTAGCCTCTGATCCACTGTGCCCCCTCAAACTGTTTCTAAAGTTATTTATTCTATTTTGAAAGTCAGAGTTGCACAGAAATGAGGAGAGATGTTGAGAGGGTTCTCCCATCTGCTGGTTCACTACCCAAGTGGCCACAACAGCCAGGGGAGGGCTAGACCAAAGCCAGGAAGCAGAAAATTTATCCTCGTCTCCTACATGGGTGACAGGGGCCCAATACTTGCACCATCTTCTGCCTCTTTCCCAGGCATGATAGCAGGAAGTTGGATTGGAAGTGGAGCAGCCAGGAAGAGATCTGGTTCCCTTTTGGGGTGCCAGCATCTCCGGTAATGGTTTTATTTGCTACGCCACAACACCAGCTGCAAGACCTCAAACTTCCAACCTATTGCTAAACATGGCCATCACATTCCATGTGGTTCTCTTTCACTATTATTAAATATATATATATATACATATATCCTTCAATCTATTACTATTATGAATGAGGTATGATAAATTGCATTTAAAGAAAAAGAAATTGCCATACATATTCATTTTTATGAAGTGAATCAGGCAAAAATCTGTATCTAGAAATTATAATTGTATTAGTTGCTTCATATACATTTCTTACTCTTGATTCATATATTTTTTAAAAAGATTTATTTATTTATTTAAAGGCAGAGTCACAGAGAAGGGAGATAGACATGGAGGGAGGTTTTTTGACCCACCAGATCATTCCCCAGATGACAATGACGAGTGCTGGGCCAGGCCAAAGCCAGGAACAAGAAACTTCATCTGACTCTCTCACATCTGCATTGCTTTTCCAAGGCCATTACTAGGGAGCTGCAAGGAGTGTAACAACAGGGACGTGAGCCAAGGCCTGTAAGAAATGACGGTATCTCAGAGGGCAGTTTTGTTCATAATGCCACAATGGCATCCCCTGCTACCTTCTTTATTTTAAGATTTATTATTTTCTTTAAGATTTATTTTTTATTGGAAAGTCAGATATGCAGAGGAGGAAGAGAGATACACAGGAAGATGTTCTATCCATTGATTCTCTCCGCAAGTGTCCACAATGGCCAGAGCTGAGCCAATCTAAAGCCAGGAGCCAGGAGCCTCTTCCAGGTCTCCCACGTGGGTGCAGAGTCCCAAGGCTTTGGGCCATCCTCTTCTGCCTTTCCAGACAACAAGCAGGGAGCTGGATGGGAAGTGGGGATTGGAATCAGCACCCATAGGGGATCACAGTGCATGCAAGGCTAGAACTTTAGCTGCTAGGCTACCGTGCCAGGCCCCACAGTTATCTTTTAATACGGTTTTTAAAACTGTTTTTATAGAGATCAAAAGTAAGTAAGCCATCATGGAAACAACTGATCAAAACTAGCTTACTGTTGACAATTTAGAAGAACTCAGGCAAGTTTGCACATCATTTCATTCGGAATCCTCAGACTCCTTTGGAAGAGGAGCTATCAGTTCCTACGATACAAGCTAGTAAGTGGGAAGTGGGCTGTTGTGACTTCACAGATAGTCTCACTGTCTGTTACTGGTACAGATTTGTACCCTACCCATACGAAGTTCTGGTGACTTCTACGTCACGAAATCCATTTGCGGGAAAACCACAGAGTGCATGCTTTATACTTCGGAAGTCCTTCTGTAGAATTTGCAGTGAAAGATTTCTTGGCTTATCATCTGACACAGCTGGAGCATGAAAGCTCTTCCACAGCCTAGTTCCTTGTGCCACATCCCAGCCTCGTTTTTCTTCTCCTAGGCACATTTCTCCTGTGCTGGGAAGGGCCTTACACGTTTTCATCGGCCCCTAGCCTGAATCCCTGAGTCCCTACCTGGGATGAGATGCATGTGCCTGGTAAGCCTTTTTTAAAAAAGATTATTTTATTTTTTATTGGAAAGGCAGATATACAGAGAGGAGGTGAGACAGAGAGGAAGATTTTCCGTCTGATGGTTCACTCCCCAAGCAGCCACAATGGCTATTGCTAAGCCAATCCAAAGCCATGAGCCAGGAGCCTCCTCCAGGTCTCCCACGTGGGTGCAGGGTCCCAAGGCTTTGGGCTGTCCTCGACTGCTTTCCCAGGCCACAGGCAGGGAGCTGGATGGGAAGCGGGGCCGCCGGGATTAAAACCAGTACCCATATAGGGTCCCGGTGCATTCAAGGTGAGGTCTTCAGCTGCTACACTACTGTGCTGGGCCCAAGATTTCTTAAAAAATAGAAATAGACCCATGTGCTCCAGCAATCCCACTTCTGTGGGTATATAGCCTAAAGACAGAAATTGATTGTATCAGAGATATTGTCTCTACCATGTTTATGGCAGCAATGTTCACAATAGCCAAAAATACGGAGTCAATCAAGGTATCCATCATTAGATGAGTGGATAAAAATATTATATTCATACACGTATACACACAATGCAATATTACTCTGTCACAAAGAATGAAATCTATTATTTGCAGCAAATGGTTGGAAGTAAAGGCGATTATGATAAGCAAAATAAGCGAAAGAGAAATACCAAATACTGAATTTCTACCTTATAAAATTAAAAAATGATCATGTATATTAGTTTTACTGGAAACTGTTTTATCAAGCTTTGTTTTAAATATTTGTCAAACAAAAGAATAGGGTTTCTATACAACTGTATTATTAAACATATGTGATATACCTAAAATAATATTAAAATTTTTAAGGGACTCATTGTATTTCAACAATAGTTAAAAACCTGGCTTCACAGGTTGTACAGGTGTAAGAAATTACGTCCTTTGGTACTAGGGACCACCTGGGCCAGGTGTTCACCTGGCGACCAGCAGATGTCGCTGTTTGTTCGTTGGGCTCGGGTTGGAGCTTCTACCTTAAACGTGTTGCTACGCTTTACTGCTTTATTTTCTGCAGCTTGTTCAAAAGCAGCTTTCTTTTTTTTTCCCTGTTGTATAGATTTTATTTTTGATAATTTTTACATATTTGATCAGGGTGCAAAGGGTCAAGGGCTAGAGGAAAGTGGGTGAGATCATTATTCTAACATTCACTTGTTTTCTTCCTGTGTCTGGGGGAAGGGAAGAGATAAGGGGAGACGCCCCACCCAGCCTCCCAAGCATCCCAGGGTCCACGATGTGGGGCATGCTCCGAGGGTCCTGCCCAAGAGGTTTTGATAGTTCAACAGTTCTTTATTGTTGGCGATCTTACCACTCCAAACACGATGAAATCTCTCCACATTCCACTGGCTGACATGACATAGTCCACCTTAGAGACTCCACCAGCCTAGGTATTCACTGCCAGCATTTGGCTGGGGTAGTTGGCTGATTTGTTCTGTCTTCCGTCCTCTGTTTTGGTAACAGGTGTCCTCTGCAGGCTCCAGTGCACTGCCATATCCTCCATGTGCTTCTGGGTATGCTGTCCATTGCTCAGTCTAAGCCACTGAGGAGGCCCATGCACTCCATGGTCAGACCGTGGAGCCTGCAATTTTCTCCATGATTGGAGTTCTGAGTCCAGTGGTTCATTTGGAAGGATTCCCAGAGAAGCTTCATCGGAGGTGATCCCTGACCTGATTCTTGTGTGTACATGCAATACAGGGTCTGGCACAGTTTGTTGCCCAAATCGGCCTTCACTCATACTGTTAGTTGTAATTGTTGGGTCAGTTGTCTCCTGTCTTCTGTACAAAACTAATAGGTGTTGCAGTCCAGTCTGATCCTGCTCACCACACACTTGACCCCCATGCAAACCAGTGGGAGTTGTAGCCTAGTCGGAGCAACCGCTCATAACCCCCATTAGCCTGCCCCCTGCTTTGGTCCCTGTGCTTGCCAGTATGTACAGCAGACTGCTCCAGTCTGTTCCACATCCCATTCAGCTCTCACATGTGTCAATGGGCATTGAAGCCTGTTTCAGCTCAACCACCACCACTATCCAGCCCACACAGTGCCAGTGGGTGCCACTCTATCCAGCCATGCACATCTCAGTCCTGATTCTCAGGCTCATCAGTCAGAGTGGCAACCCAAGAGCGTGGTGCCCTCTGTTTCCCTAATGGGCTCATTCCCACTCCTAGATCTTGTACCCTCTAGGTGGTACTGAAGTCGAGATTGACAGAGTTTGCCCGCCCCCACTTATGTCAGCATCTGACAGTCGATGCTGTGGCAAAGCCCTATCAACCCACACCCACTCTAGCTTATGTATATACCAGTAGGTACACTCTACCTAGCCTTGCTTGTCCCCAATCCAGCTTATGTGTAGGTCAACAGGTGTTGTAGCCATGCCTGATCTCCTCTGCCCCATCCCAGTTCTTATACTCACCCGTGGGAATAGTGGCCCAGCAGAGAAGCTCCCTGCATCCCCCTACTGAGTTTGCCTGCTCTCCCTGGATCTCAAGTGTGCTGATTGGGCACTGTGGCTCAGTCTGGTATGGCCTACCTCATCCTGGCAT